GATAGACTTAATCTAATGTAAGATAACATGGGGGAGAAGTGTGTGTGTGAGGGTGGGTAGGTGGGTGGGTGGGATGGGTGTAGGTACCTATGTGCATGCATGTACACACAGAGGCCAGAGGTCAGTATCAGGTGTCTTTCTCTATAGATCTCTACCTTTTTAATATTTATCTTAATTCTTTGAGCATTTCATACAATGTATTTTGATCATATTCCGAACCCCTGCCCCGTGTCCACCCCCACCTGACTAACCCCCTGCAACTTCATATCATCTTACTATTTTTTAAAGCCTATCAAGTCTAATTTGTGTTCCCCAAATGCTCTTGGTTGTGGGTCTGTTCCTTGGAGCCCAGTCATTATACCAGGTGTCACACCCTTAAGGAAAATTGACTCGCCCTCTCCCAGCACCTATAAATTGCCAAATAGATCCTCAGCTCAGGCTGGGGTTTTTGCATACTTCCCCTATCCACACTAGGATTTGTTCTGACTTGGGCTTGCACAAGTCTTGTGCATGCTGTCAAATCTCCAGGATAAAGCCCTAGAGCTGGGTGTGAAATAAGCAGCCTTCCCTTTTACTGACCCACCCTCTCCCCAGGACAGAACATTAGAGGTGAGCGGGATGGCAGTCCAAGGTCCTATCTTTTCCTTCCAGCCATGGAATCAAGAGTTCATAGGCCTAGTCAAGGCTGATCAGACCCCTGCATCCTCACACTCCACACTGAGCTAGAGCCTCCATTCCACAGGGAATGATCAGAAGGCAGCTGCCTCTCCTCTACTACATAAAATTGAGGCTTCACTCCAGTAGCTGAGGGCTGTAGAAGCGCTAAAGTCCTGCTCCTCCCAGGAAGAAATCCCTCCTACTGTGGCCATGAGAGACCTGTGTGCCAGGTTGCTGCTTCTGGCATGGAATCTCCTCCTCCCAGAGCTACAGTGGGAGAGGAGCAGACTGGTTCCACCACCCACAACCTCCTCTGTCCCCAATCCTCATCTCCCTATTTAAAGAGCTCCTCATCTGGCATTGCCCTTAGGATCATTTCCAGGGTCTTTATATCACTGATTTTTTCATAGTCTTCACCAGTTTCACTGAAGAGTATGTTCATGGAATCTCCACATCACCATGACAGAAGTCAATGGCGTGCTCTATTCCATCCTGAATTTTAATGATCCTGTTGTTCACCCAGGAGCTAGATTCTTGATGGTGGAGCTGTCTCTGATAGATGCACTACGCTCCTGCTATTGATATCATGCCTTCAGGTTTCGATTTTTTTCATAAAGAAAGACTTGCATAAAAGGAACATTCACCTGGTTGCCTAGAATATTATCTTTATTTTAGACTACTGAGTCTGTCTTTTTATTACAAGAGAAAGGTCAGTATTTACTATGGATTCTGTAGGGAGATAGATTAGTGCACCAAAATGAAATGCTAATTATGTAATCATTATGAAGTATGAATCCTACAAAATAAGGAAAGAGATGTGGGAATATAGCTCAGTGGTGGTGCTTTCCGTATTGCTTGAGTTAGTCACACTAGAATTCTTTTTCCATAACCAATGGATTACAGTCTTTATCTTTTCTTCTTTGTTTTAGAAAATAAATTTAATTGCAAAATTTTAAAATTTGTATGACTTGAGCTACTTTAAAATTTCAACAAATTCCAAACTTTAGAAATTAACAGTAAGTTAATCCTAGTTTAATGTAAAAGATAATGCATAAATTATGCTAAACCATACAAAAATGAAATAAAATGACACGGGGCGGGGGGGGAGCTGTAGACTGACTTCATTTACAAATATGACTACAAAATACTACATAAAACAACAGCAAATCAAGCCAGGCATGTTGGCGCAGGCCTTTAATCCCAGTGCTCAGAAGGCAGAGGCTGGCAAATCTCTGTGAATTCAAGGCCAGCCTGGTCTACATAGTGAGTTCCAGGCTTCTGGGGCTACAGGAAGACCCTGTCTCAAAAGGATTTAAAAAATAGCAAATCAATTTCAATATTTATGGTGGGAATACAAATGCAGTTCAACATCCAGCAAATGATGATAGGCACTGAAAAAACATTCAACTACAAATGAAACAGCCACATCTAACTGTGAAAATACTATTGAATGGGGCTGGAGAGATGGCTCAGCGGTTAAGAACACTAACTGTTCTTGCAGAAGACTTGGGGGGTTCAAATCCCAGCACCTACATGGCAGCTAAGAACTGTCCATAACTCCAGTTCCGGGGGATCTGACAGCCTCTTCTGTCCTCCATGGGCATTGCCAACATGGGTGCACTTACATACATGCAGGCAATATATACATACATATAAAAAAATTTAAATACTACTGGGGCTGGAGAGATGGCTCAGTGGTTAAGAGCACTGACTGCTCTTGCAGAAGACCCGGGTTCGATTCCCAGCACCTACATGGCAGCTAAAAACTGTCCTTAACTCTAGTTCCACGGGAATCTGATGCCTTCTTCTGACCTCCGAGGCATTGCACGACACGGGTGCACTCATGTACATGGAGGCAATATACTTGTGCATATAAGGCTGGAGAGATGGCTCAGTGGTTAAGAGCACTGACTGCTCTTGCAGAAGACCCGGGTTCGATTCCCAGCACCTACATGGCAGCTAAAAACTGTCCTTAACTCTAGTTCCACGGGAATCTGATGCCTTCTTCTGACCTCCGAGGCATTGCACGACACGGGTGCACTCATGTACATGGAGGCAATATACTTGTGCATATAAAATAAAAATAATAAATAAATTTTTTTTTAATTTTTAAAAATACTATTAGAAAAAAAGGAGAGTTGGTGCTAAATCTATATCCTCTTCCACTAAAAAATCCCTTAAGACTCTACTGCATTTAGAATACAATTTTAAACCTTTACAAGACTCTGCATGACCTCCTTCCTATGACCTACATGTAGAATCCTCCCTGTCCCTGTCCCTGTCCCTCTCCCCTTCCCTCTCCCTCTCCCTCTCCCCCCCCCTCTTTTCTGCAATCATTTTGTAGGTACTTAGCCATATTTAGCTCTTTGAACATAGCAAGACCCACCTCAGGGCACTGTATGTTCAGCTGTCTTCCCGAAGTGACCCTTGATCAGGAATTCACAGGATTAGTTTTTTCACATCTCAAGACATCAAAATGTAAGCACTGGTAACAGATCTCCAAATAACAGGATTCAATATAATTTATATATCTTCATTACTTTTGAATTGTTTCAAATGTTTTGCCATACACATTAAGTTTTCAAAGCAAAAACACATAATACACTGTTTTAATCACGTGTGCATATGTGCTTGATCCTGGGGATTAAGTATGCTAGGCAAGTAATCGACCACTGAGCTACATCTCTAGCCCTGTTGTTTTAATTTTTAGTATGTTTGACATGTATCAGATAAGGCACAAAATGCTAGTCTGTATAATTGTTACCTATAACTGATTAAAATTTTTCCCAATATTATTTCTTAAATAATGCATACATTCATTTTATCTGCCAATATACATTGCTGCCATAACAGCCAACCAAATGTCTTCCTGTCCGTCTCTGAAGCTTCTATCCAGGTCTACTGATTAGTTCATTCCAGCATCTATTTATAGAGTCCTTTTTTAAAGAGAGGGTTTCCCTGTAACCCCAGCTGGCCTGGAACTCACTATGTAGACCAGGCTGACCTTTATCTCACAGAGATCAGCCTGCCTCTGTCTCCTAAGTGCTGAGATTAAAGGTATGTGCCACCATGTCTGACAGAGTCCTTAATTTCTAAGAGAGCAAGTATTGTGTTATAGCTCAATTTTTTCAATATTTTCATTTATTCTCATGCTTATTTTTAGAGGAAATTTAGATTATTTCAGTTTCCTAGAAAAATCCATCATGTGGGGGCTGGAGAGATGGCTCAGCGGTTAAGAGCACTGATTGCTCTTGCAGAAGACCCAGGATCAATTCCCAGCACCCACATGGCGGCTCTGAACCATCCCTAACTCCAATTCCAGGGGAATCCGAAGCCCTCTTCTGACCTCTGTGGCATTGCACGACACGGGTGCACTCTCATACATGCAGGCAATACACTCATACACATAAAATAAAAATAATAAATAAAATTCAACATTTTTAATATCAACTGAGTTAAATTTTAGATTAATTCAGGACAATATCTACCTTTGTGATATTTCATCTTCATCTTCTTACCTGAACTCTTACACACATTCTTGTGTATGTAAGTATGTGATACACACACACACACACACACACACACACACACACACACACACAGCATCTGGAATCCCTTTATCCATAATATTCATTCAATCATCTGTCCTACTTTTTCCGAGCTAGGTTATCATATCTGTGAATAATGAGGACAGTTTCTCCTTCTTCCAAATATGTTTACCTTCCTTCATTTTCAAATAGCACTACATCTGTTTCTTATAAGGCACACACACTCACACACATACATTATGCATCATTTAAAATCTATGTCATATCGTGACATAGCATACTAATCATTAAACACTTGAAGACTATTGTGACAGTTTAAAGTAAGACTTAGACATTATTCCTGTAACATGAGCATACCAGACTAGAAATTGTTAGAATAATTGAACTGAATAATTGTTTTTGTGTGTTTATTAATTTGTTTCTTTTATGTGTGGGGCATTTTGTTTGTTTGTTTTTTCAGTTGGGGTGCAGCTCAGTAGTAAAGCACTTGCTTAGCATATAAAATACACTGAGTTCAGACTTTAGCACAGCAAAATTTTTTAGATTATAAAATTGGGTCTAAGTCTTTTTGAAACAGAAGTCTTGCTATGTTGTCCAAGCTGACTTCGGCCTCCTAGGCTCAAGCAATTGTCCTCAGCTCTCTGAATAGCTGGGACTATAGGCAAATGCCACCATACCCAGCTCTAAGATATTCTTAATAGTAAGAAAATAGTTGGTTTGTAGTGTTCATGTCCTCATCTAAGTGAGAGCACTTGGTGAGCATCTGTTGCTGCTCCTGTTGCAGAAAATTGGGGAATGGATGGAAGCAACCAGTCTTCGGACTCCGAGTTCCTACTCATAGGGCTTTCAGAGATTCCTGAGCAGCAGCAGATTCAGTTTTGGGTGTTCCTGTCCATGTACCTGGCCACAGTGGTGGGAAATGTGCTCATCATCCTGGCCATCGGCTCTGACTCCCGCCTGCACACTCCCATGTACTTCTTCCTAGCCAACCTCTCTTTCACCGACCTCTTCTTTGTCACCAACACCATCCCCAAGATGCTGGTGAACCTTCAGTCCCAGAACAAAGCCGTCTCCTACACAGGATGTCTGACACAGCTCTACTTCCTGGTGTCCTTGGTGGCCCTGGACAACCTCATCCTGGCCACGATGGCATATGACCGTTATGTGGCCATCTGCCGCCCCCTCCATTATGCCATAGCCATGAGTCCTAAGCTCTGTGTCTTGCTCCTCACCTTGTGCTGGGCCCTTTCTATCCTATACGGCCTCATCCACACTCTTCTCATGACCAGGGTGACTTTTTGTAGATTCCGGAAAATCCATTACCTCTTCTGTGAAGTGTACGTCCTGCTGAGGCTTGCGTGCTCTGACACCCACATCAATCACACGGTGCTGATTGCCACAGGCTGCTTCATCTTCCTCACTCCTTTTGGATTCATGATCATGTCCTATATCTGGATTGTCAGAGCTATCCTCAGAATTCCTTCTGCCTCTAACAAATACAAAGCCTTTTCTACTTGTGCTTCCCATCTGGCTGTGGTGTCCCTCTTCTATGGGACCCTCTGTATGGTGTATTTGCAGCCGCTGAAGACATACTCTATGAAGGACTCAGTAGCCACTGTGATGTATGCAGTGGTGACCCCCATGATGAACCCTTTCATCTACAGCCTGAGGAACAAGGATATGCACAGGGCTCTAGGAAGACTGCTGAAGAAACCCTTTCAAGAGGTTAACATGAGGTAATTTGGGGAAAGGGCATTGAGATGGAGACTGAGAATTTCCTTCAATATATGCAAAGCATCACCATTTGGGATACACAGGAGTGATTAGGACACAGTTCCAGCTTAGAATGAACCTATGTGGTGATGAAAAGGCATGTAAGTATAGCCTAGTGTGCCTCAGATCTCACCAGCCCTAGTCATACTAGCTGAGTCACACTGATACCAATACTAGAATCTTGCAAGGTTGAATTTTTCCATGTGCCTCACATAGGACCACATTCTCAGCATTATCTAGATATGCCCAGTTATGACCTAGAGGTGTCTCTCATGTTATCTAGCATATATCTAATACACAAAAAGTAAATGGTGACTGATTAAAAGAAAATGTGAAATCCTGCAGGCAGCCTATGGGAGGAAGAGATAAGGGAGATAAAGGAGGGAGTCTAAATATGATCAAGATATATTTCATGAAATTCACAAAAATTCAATAAAATGTGCACTGAAAAAAATAAAATAATATTCATAAAAAGAACAGTCATTTTGAAGCTGCATAATACAATAACTGAAGTGAAATAAAACAAGAGCTTCAAGAACAGATCTGATAAAGCATAATGAGAAATTAGCTATGCAAATGCAGGTCATTTCAAATTATCTTGTTAGAAGAGCCAAAAGTAAAAGGATGAAAAAGAATGAAGAAAATCTATGGGACTTCAGAAGCACCAACAAGAAAAAATGATCCACAAAACAAGCAGAAAACAAATCACGAAAGGACAGTAGCAAGTGTGTGCCTTAAACGTAAATGGATTAGATTTTTCTGATCAAAAGACTTACAGTGACTGAAAACAAAAAGAAAAAACAATCCAACCATATGCTGACTACAAGAAAGTCACTTTACTGTGAAGGAGACTCACAAAATGAAAGTAAAGGCAAAATATGTGTGTGTGCATGTAGGGATATATATATATGTATATATAGATATATGTGTGTATATGTATAAATATATAGCTTATAAATATATTTATAAATATGTATAGATATACATATTCCAAGTAAATGGAAACTGAAACAAGATTAGCCAGCTATGTTTATATCAGACAAAGAGAGTTTTAATCAAACACAATAAAAAGAGACAAAGAAGGTCACTATGTAATGATAAGGGGGGGACAAATTTACCAAGAAGACATAACAATTGCAAATATCTGTGTATCCAACATCACAGCAATTACTAAATGACTTGTGAGGAAAGATAGATTGCAGTAGTAACAGCCCCTAAATACTCTAGTTTGAACAATGGAAAGATCATCTAGACAGAAAATAAGCATTGGATATTGTTAGTTACTTGTCACTGCGACAGACGATCTGGCAGAAATAAAGGAGGAAGGATTTCTTTTGACTCACTGTTTCAGGGGGTATCAGACCATCATAGCAGGGAAGGCATGGTGGCTGGGAGAATTCAGGCATGTGACGGTGGGAGTTTGCAGCACAGCTCACATCTTGCCAGGTCAAGAAGCAGAGAGAGGTGCTGGACAGATGGCTCAACAATTAAGAGCACTGGCTGCTCTTGCAGAGGACCTGGGTTTGACACAGCTGCACTTACATGCGGGCAATACACTCATGCACACTAAATAAAAATATTTTTTTAAAAAAAAAAAGCAAAGAGAGCTCAGGTTAGAGGTGGATAACCTTCAAGATGTGCCCTAGCCAGATCATAGTCCCAGTAAGTTCTACTACTTCCCAAAAGAGTACCAAGACTAGGGACATGAGCCTGTGGGGAACCTGTTACATCCAAACCATACAGATTTAAATAATACTTTAAATCAAATGCACTTAGAACAATACAGAACATTCCATCAACTATCAGCAAAATACATACTTAGTTGCAATCACATGCAAGTGTGAAAATACCTTGGCCAACTTGCTTGATCCATTTTGTGCTGCTAGGACAAAACACCTGAGACTGGGTACTTTATTTTTAAAAAAAAACAGACATGTATTTCTCATGGCTTTGGAAGCTGAAAAATCTAAGATAAAGGTACCAGTTAGTGAGAACTGGATCTCTCTGCTTCCAAGATGCCTTACTGCATCCTCCAGAGGAATGGAATGCTGTGTCCACACATGGCAAAAGACAGTGAGCAAGACAGCTGAACATTGTCCATTCAAGAGAGGAGCCCTGGCTAATCACCTTTTAAAACTATCACATTGGCCATTAAATATCAACACGTACATTTTGAAGGGGACACATTCAGACCTAAGCATCAAGTGAACAGGGAGCTCTGGGGTGAATCTGGCCATCTGAGTTCTGAGTCAGGCGAATTGTACAACCTCTATAGCCCTGTCTTGCTCCATCACCAGGTGTGGGCTTTCCCTAGAAACCCTGTGGTCTTGGAAAAGGAGGGTTTCTGCAACTGAGGCACAGAAAGTGCAGTGTTTTGTGTGGGGGGGGGGTGTTGAGTTGTGCTGTTGTGGTGGTTGTTATTGTGACTGGGGTGAGGAGTGTGGTAAATCTGGTTTGGGACAGGGCCTCACTATGTATCTCAGGCTGTCTTCAAAGTCATGATCCTCCTGCTTCAGCCTCCTGAGTGCTATGAATACAGCTGTGTGTTAGAAAGTCTGTTCTTGAAGTGAGAACTGTCCTTAAAGTTCACCTCCATTTTTCCACAGATATGTATGGGTAATGTCATTAAGACTCAAGGTCAGGAGGCATTGTGCTGAGTCTCTCGATCCCTCTCCAGGACCAGCTGTCTCTCTAGAACATTCTGGGCCTCGTCCAGTCCTGTGTGCCACAAATCTAAGGCGAGGAGCCTGGGCCTCCAGCACTGTGCTGCACCCCACCACGAAGGTCCGCTCAAGAGCTACAGAAGCGCGGGGCTCTGGATTTCTGCAAGATCCATGAACTCTCCCTGGAGAAACACGCATCCTGGCAGACAGCCAGTAAGAAGGGAAAGGCGGGCATGGCGCGGAAGCAGCTAATGAAAAGCGGGGGGGGGGAGGCGGCGCCACCTCGCCAGAGCATCCTCCTGTTCTGCATGCGGCACGCGCCACCCAGTGGCGGCCACCAGGACCGCGAGCATCTTACACAAAAGTGTAACTCTGCCTATCCTCTCTGCTCACAGGAGAGAGAAATAGTCCCTACCTTCCCTAAAATTAAAAAATTCTTTTCCCCTAAAATGACCAGCTGGCGCCCGCTCCTAACTCCCAGCGTTCTCATTTGCAAAAGTATTTGAGGCAAGAATTTAAAATGAAATCCTAACAGATTAATTCTAGGATTATATTAAAAGAATATGTCAGTGGTTATCAGTCTTTAGAGGACTAAAGTCATTTGATAAAACATAATACTGAATTTGCTGATTAGAAAAACAAAAATCTCAATAAAGTAGGAATTAAAATCATTTAAAAAATGAGCCTGAGAGGGTGGGTTCCAACCTCCATTAGTGTAGTGGCTGGGATCTCAGCAGACCATCAGAGTGCCAAGTTCTGGCCTCCCACTGGCATAGGGGCTAAGAACTCAGGAAACTAACTGAGATTGCCTTTTCTGCCTCCAGGTGGTCAGGTCCAGACCTTAGGAGGAAGCCTGAGTGTACCTGACTAGGACTTGACTTGGGCTTCTGTGGGTGCTCCTGAATAGCTGATCTGAAGCCATCAGTTCCCTCCAAAATAAAACCTGAGAGAACCTGAAACCTGTACCAACCAGCTTTACAAAATCAATAAGGACCTAGGCACTCCAATAATACAAACATAAGCATACTTCAACTTAATTCTCATATAAGAATCATAAACAAAAGAAACTCACATGCCAAAACACAACAAAAGAATAATAAAATGGAAAGCCAAAACACTATGTCCCCAGCAAAGCTCCACCAATCCTGTAGAAGAGTTCTATAAGGAGAACCCTCTAGAGATAACCCAGGACACTGAGCTAAAATAAGAAGTTTGTCCCTATCTTCTTTAAGTTCTTTGATTGGATTTAAAAGAACAGTCATAAACATGATCAAGGAATTCAACAAATTTAAGCAACACACGAACAAACAAATCAAAGACAAACAAACAAATCAAAGAACTAAAAGAAGATAGGGATAAACTTCTGAATGAATGTACAAAAGAGAAACATTGAAGAAAACTCAGGCAGAAATGTAGAAGGAAGTGGAAAACTCAGTAAGCCAACTTGAAACAACAGGGGAAAGCCTCACAGCTAGAATGAATGAAATGCAAAACAGAATGGAGGAAAAAGTTGAAGAACTGGACCACTCAAGCAAAGATTACGAAAAATTTTAAAAACACAGGAATGGTATACACAAGAGATATGGGACACCATGAAAAGACCAAATCTATAGATCACAGGAATACAGGAAGGAGACGAATTTTAGGTTAATGGTATTGACCAGATCCTAAACAGGATTGTAGAAGAGAATTTCCCAAAATTAAGGAAAGTTATCCCTATACAAATACAGGAAGCACATAGAACACCAAATAGGATCAGAAAAGAAACTCAGCACGACATATTATAGTAAAAACACTAAATGTACAGAACAAAGAGAGAATAATGAAAGCAACAAAAGAAAAACAAGTCACATACAAAGGAAAGTCCATCAGAATTACAGCTGACTTGTCAATGCAAACTATGAAATCCAGAAGAGCCTGAACCAAGGTATTCCCAGTTCTACATGACAATAGATGCCAGCCCAGACTACTTTATCCAGCAAAAATGTCTATTATAGTTGAGGGGGAAAGAAAAATCTTCCATGACACAAAAAGCCTGAAAGAATACATGTCCACAAAACCAGCCCTTCAAAGCATACTTGAAGCAATACAGAGAGTGGAGAGAGAAACAACTATATCTCAGGGGCAATGAAAGAAAATAAATAAAGGTATAATTCAGGAAACACAAAATTAGACAGAGAACACAAACAGCAATCAAAGTGACGACAATGAATACACATCTTTCGATAATAACCTTAAATATCAATGGACTGAACTCCCCAATCAAAAGACACAAGCTAAATGAATGGCTTAAGAAATTAGATC